GCTAACCTATCTGCTTTCAAAACACCTTTGTCTCAATCTACCTTTAAAAACGATTAGTCCCTTTTCGAACTTTCTTTTTGAAATAAGTTGAAAATAAGTAGTTAATTTTTCAAATTTCTCGAAATACTTCCTTCCCGAAAATTCTTTACAATTCGAAGCTTCCTTTTTTTGAAATTTCACGATCGAAATTACGTTTTTCCTCGAAATTATTTCTTTTTCAAATTACTTTTGTACTAGTCTCGAAAATACGTCCCAATTAATTCGTTAGTTCCACAAAATCTTTTTGAAATACTTCAGAATTAAATCACCCCTTTCCACAAATTTCTTTGAAAATCTTTTCTGTTTGAAATTTTCCTTCTGAACTTCTCTTTTGCATTAATTAATTAGTTCTTTCTCAAAATTTTGAATTTAAAAATACTTTTGAACTCATTACTTTACTTCTTTTTGAAATTTCTTTGAAATATTTTGAAATTAATTAATTATTTTCTTCGAAATTTCTTTTTCTTTTTTGAAATTTCTTGAATACTTTAGAATTAATTCATCTCTTTTTTTGGAATACCCTTAATTTCTTTCCAAATTCCTTGGAACTCATAATTAGCCCTTTTCCGAAATTTTGAATTCACATTTTGAACTTCGAAATTCATTATTTATTCTTACGAAATTATTTCAAAATTTTGTTTCTTTGCCGACATTTCTTTAAATTCACGTTCAGAATTAATCCCTGCCTTCGGAATTAATTATTATTTTTTTCCAAATTACAACGAAAAATTTTACAATTCCCCCTCCTAATTCTTTTTCTATAATTCGAAAATATTCCAAAATTTCACATAACTAAATAAGTTCAAACTTCAAAACTTATTTTCTCCCAATATTTTGAACAACGAATTTTGTAAATCTCTCCTTCGGATCCTTCAAAATTTTGTTCTACCCAAACGAATTTTGTAAATCTCTCCTTCAGATCCTTCAAAATTTTGTTCTACCCAAATGAATTTCGAATAAATAAAATTCCAATCAGGAATAAAGTTATTCAATAGTAATTCCCTACTTTCCAAAAAAAAAAAAAATCTTGGTAATTATCTTTATTTTTGAATTTATTGATAAATAAATAAGGGATTGCCCCCCCCCCCCCCTCCACATGCCGCCACGCCAAACCAAGAACTCGCAACGCGCCGCCGCCGCCGCCTCCACTGCTGCCGCATCCTCCACATCCGTCCTGGCCGCGTCCTCCACCCCCACTTCCCATGACATGGTCGCATCCTCCATCAACATGTCTGATATCCGCACCGACTCAGTCGATAGCATCGCCTGCAACCTTGCAGGCGAACAACCACCAGCAAACACCGCCACCTTTGACCTCTCCACCATCCTCCACACACTCAACACCTTCTAAACTTTCGTCACCGCCTCTCTCGACGACATTAAGGCCACCATGTCGTCCATATCCGATCACGTCACCACGCTTGAAAGGAACAACCCCTCCATCACGGTCGTCACCACGGCCGCACCTCCCTCCTCCACAGTGCAAACCACTCCCTCCTCCACAGCCGCCTCCAGCAACACCCCCCGGCCGACCTCCTCCACTCCCACCACCTCTACCACCACATCCACTAACCCTCCTTCTTCAACCCTTCCCGCCTCCTCATCATCCACCACCGTTTCGTTCCTCCCACCTCCTCCCTCATCTGGCGCATCCAACACACCGCCTCATTCCTCGCCCATCCACATCACCCCTCTTCCCCCCCCGCACTCTCATACCCTTCCCCAACCCATCATGACGACCTCCACCATCCCCACCATCCGTCCCACCTATTCCCAAGTCACCTCCTACGCCACCACCCCCGATAACC